GATCAGAATTAATATTGTAAAATGACCATACTACCTAAGGCAATCTACAGAGTCAGTGTAATCCCCATCAGAATACCAATGACATTCTTCACAGAAATAAAAAAAGTCTTAAAATTTGTAGGGAGCCACACAAGACCCCAAATAGCCAAAGCAATTCTGAGCAGAAAGAACAAAGCTAGAGGGATCACACTACCTAACTTCACAATGTAGTACAAAGCTGTAGTAACCAAAACAGCCTGATAATGGCATAAAAACAGACACATAAATCAATGCAACAGAATAGAGAAACCAGGAATTAATCACATATCTACAGATAACTAATTTGTGACAAACGTGCCAAGAACACTTTGGGGACAGAACAGTCTCTTCAACAAATGCTGCTGAAAACGGTATCAATATGTTGAAGAATGAAACTAGATTCTCATCTTTCACCCTATACAAAAATCAACTCAAAATGGATTAAAGACCTAAATATAAGACCGGAAACTATAAAACTACTAGAAGAAAACATAAAGGAAACGTTTCAGAATATTGGTCTAGGGAAATGTTTTATGAATAAGACCACAGAATCACAGACAACAAATATCAAGCTAGAAAGCTTCTGCACAGCAAAGGAAACAACAGAATGAAAAAGCAACCTACAGAATGGGAGAAAATGTTTGCAAACTATTCTTTCAACAAGGAATTCAGATGCAGAATATACAAATAACTCAAACGTCTCTACAGCGAAAAAAATAAAAATAAAAAATGAGCAATTAAAAGTGGGAAAATGATCTGGACATTTCTTAAAAGAAGATATACAGATGCCAAAAAAAATGAAAAAATGTTCAACATTACTTAATCATCAGGGAAATGCAAATCAAAACTACAATGAAATATCATTTCACCTTAGTTAGGATGGCTATTATCAAAAAGAGAAAAAAATAAGGAATGCCCATGGGGATGTGAACAAAACGAAACTCTTACACTGTTGGTGGGAATGTAAGCTAGTACAGACACTGCAGAGAACAGTATGGAGTTTCCTTTAAAAACTACAAATAGAATTATATGATCCAGCAATCCCACTGCGACATTTATCCAAAGGAAAGGAAATCAGCATATCAAAGAGATATCTGCATCCTCATATTTATTGCAGCACTATTCACAATAGCCAAGATATGGAATCAACCTAGGTGTTTAACAACAGATGAATGGATGAAGAAAATGTGGCATATATGCACAATGGAATACTATTTAGCCATAAAAAAGAATAAAATCCTGTCATTAGTAGCAGCACATATGTAACGGGGACATTATGTTATGTGAAATAAGCCAAGAAAAGAAGGTTAAGCAATGCGTGTTCTCACATATATCCAGAAGCTTTAAAAAGTTGATCTTATAGAAGTAAAAAGTAGAAAAGAGGATACTAAAGGGTAGGAAGGGTTTGGGGAAGGAGGGGATAGGAAGATATTTGTTAAAGGATAGAAAATTACAGCTAGATAGCAGGAATAAATTTTCATGTTCTATAACACTGTAGGATGACTGTAGTTAACAATATAGTTGCAGATAGCTAGAAGGAGGGTATTGAATATTCCCAACACAAAGAAATGATAAATATTTCAGATGATGTATATGTTAATTACCCTGATCTGAACACTATACATTACACATATACACTATGTATATGTATACACGTGCACTATACATATACACTGTATGTCAAAATATCACTATGTATGACATAAATATGTACAGTTATTATATGTCAATTTTTACAAAAGCTCACCAGGGTCCCACAAATTTAGGTACTGTTATTATTCTCATTTTACATTTGAGGAAACTGAGGCACAGATAAATTTATAAACTGGCCCAGTTTTGCATACCTAATAAGAAGTAGTGCACTGATTCAAATCCAGGCAGTCTATCTCTGCAGCTCATGCTGTTAGCCACTAGTATGTCTGAGGGGTTAAAAACTTCAAAGTCAATATCTAACCAACCCAGGAGCAGTGAACACCACCAGATGCCTCATGAAGGTCTTGAAATACCATCTCCCATTAAAAAGAGGCAGGTTCCTTGGAGAGATGGCTGATTTAAGGTCTGGGTCAGGAAATGAACAAGAGAAACCTGAAGCACCTTGTCGTATAGATAACAAAGAAGCTATTGAAGACTAATAGGATCATTCCAAAAGAAAAGAACTCTGAAGAGCCAACTTAAAGGGGCTCCCAATGGCCAAAGATGTGACAATTTGAGCATCAGTAGGGATAATAGCAATAGATTGAAGTACATCAATTACGTTTAAATCTATGAGTTCATAATGATGCTCAAAAATTGGTCATGTTTAGAAGATGATTGGGAATTGCTTAATTGAAAACTGGTAAATACATTTTTTCCCTCTCATTCCTATGTGAACTGTATACCTGAATAACTAAATAGTACATGAGGTGAAGCTCCTCTTTATAGAAATAATCCAGCTGCTAAATGACAAAGGAATGATAGAATTAGAGTGTCCCTTTTCTACAACCTCTAAAGTTATGGTGTGATCATAACTGACTGCAGCCTCAAACTCTTGGCCTCAATCAATTCTCTTTCTTCTTCAGCCTCCCAAAGTGCTGTGGTTACAGGTTTGTGGTTACAGCCACTGTGCCCAGCATTTGTACTTAAATTTTTTAAAACTCTAAAAGAAATTGCATTTATAAGAAAATTGATAATGTGAACGACTCAGTGTTTGATAATGTTAAGGAAATATTGTTAATATTTTAGATATGATAATAATATGGGTTTTTTAAAGTATTTATTTATTTATTTGAGACAGAGTCTTGCTCTGTCACCCAGGCTGGAGTGCAGTGGCGTGATCTCGGCTCACTGCAACCTCCGCCTCCCAGATTCAAGCAGTTCTCCTGCCTCAGCCTCCCGAGTAGCTGGGATTACAGGTGCCTGCAACCACGCCTGGCTAATTTTTTTTGTATTTTAGTAGACACAGAGTTTCACCATATTGGCCAGGCTGGTCTTGAACTCCTGAGCTTGTGATCCACCCACCTCAGCCTCCCAAAGTGCTGGGATTACAGGCATGAGCCACCGCACCCGGCCTAAGTCTTTGTTTTTATTGATGAAATTATATGTTCTGGGATTTGCTTCAAAATACTGTGCAGTGGGGTTGGGGGTAGAGATAAACAGAATTAGCCCTGCGTTGATAATTATTGGAGTTGGGGGATGGATACGTGGAGACTCATCACTATTCTCTCTACTCTTGTATAGTTTAAAATTACCATAATAAAATGTTTTGTAAAACTAAATGCCTAAGTTTTGGATTGCACAAAGTACATACTGTTTCTAATAAAAATAAGTAATTTGGTCCAAAATACTTTAGATATTAAAATGTATCGAATCTTATTCTACCACCCATGTCTTTAATGTTTGTCCTTTCTGTTGAGAGAGAGAGGAAAGAAGAAAGACAGAGAGACATGTGTTTATGGCACAGAAAATGCCAGTAAAGTCAGTGGCTACTAATATCACTTGATCTTAGCCAAAAGGCTGAAAAGCAATGGCTACTGATATCAAGCCGGCTCTTAATGGCCAGGGAATAGTACTACATTTCCTTAATCTATTCACTTGCTCACATTCATAAACAACATTTTATCAAATCTCAGATGCCACTGATTATAAATTGTATTATTATTTTAGGTACCAAAAAAAAAAACAAAAAACAATGCTCCTGATTAAATTATGGAATGCCATCACTTGTAAGATAGCAATTTTACAGATGTTAAAATATGAAAAAAGCATGTATCAGAATCATCATAATACGGTATTTATCTTTTCTGTCAAGCCTCCAGTACTTTCCCCCATCTTCAGTTTCAGCTTTCTATTTCACTGGGAAAACAGAAGCACTCAGAAGAGGGCATCCTCTTTCTCCTACAACCAAATTTTTCCACCTGTTTGCATCTGTACTTAAAAACTTTGCCTTCCCTTTTATTTCAATGGAGATGAATTATCCATACTCCTACTTAGAATGATCCTTTTTCTCAAGGACTTTCCTCCTGTAACTACTAGCCTGTCTATCCTGAATTGTGTATTTTGCCCCCTCTACTGGATCTTTTATTTTATTTTATTTTATTTATTTGAGACGGAGTCTTGCTCTGTCACCCAGGCTGGAGTGCAGCAGTGTGATCTCGGCTTCCTGCAAGTCTGCCTCCCAGGTTCAAGCGGTTCTCCCGCCTCAGCCTCCCAAGTAGCTGGGATTATAGGCACGCGCCACTGCACCCGGCTGATATTTTATATTTTTAGTAGAGATGAGGTTTCACCATGTTGGCCAAGCTGGTCTCCAACTCCTGACCTCAAGTGATCTGCCCACTTCGGCCTCCCAAAGTCCTGGGATTACAGGTGTGAGCCACTGCACCCAGCCTGGCTCCTTTTAATTAGCACATAAACTTACTATAATTTCTTCCATCTTGATTTTAGTTTTTGAGACAGAGACTAGCTCTGTCGCCCATGCTGCACTGCAGTGACGGAAGCCCAGCTCACTGCACCGTCAACTGCCTGGGCTGAAGCGGTCCTCCCACCTCAGCCTCTCAAGTAGTTGGGACTTCAGGCCAGGCAAATTTTTCATTTTTTGTAGAGAAGAGGGTCTCACTATGTTGCCTATGTAGTTTCAGACTCCTGGGCTCAACCAATCCTCCCACCTTGGCCTTCCGAAGTGCTAGGATTACAGGCATTAGCCACCACACCCAGCCCCATCTTTAAATTAAAAAAAAAAAAAAAAAAATTAGAACATGTAGAAAAAGGCAACGACAACAAAAGATTTCTGCATCCAAAATCCCTATCGAATGATAGCTTTATTTTTCTGCTCATCTTAAAAACAAAACTTCTTAAAAGTGTTGCCTATATTTGCTTTCTCCATTTCCTCTCCTCTCATCGTTTCTTCCAACTCCTATTAAGTTTTCATCAGACTTTATCAAACTTCCACCACTCCACCAAAAGGGGGTTTCAACATCACTAGTGACGACTGCTACAGCGGTCCATTCTTAATTCTCATTTTACTTGACCTATGAGCAACATTTGAGACAGTGGGTCACTCCCTTATTCTTGAAACACTTCCTTCCCTTGGTTTTGCAGATCTAAACTTTCCTACTTTTCCATTTACTTCATCTACTTCATGGATGATTCCTTCTCAGTCTTCTTTGTCGGATCCTCTTCACCTACCAAACTTAACCTGGTGCATTGTTAGAAGAAACCCTACTGAGTAAGAGCAAATTATTCTTTTAGCAGACTGCTTTTACTTTCCAATATTTAAACATTTTGTTTATCCTTTTAAATGAAAATGATTTAAAAAGCGCAGCTCTCAAGCTAGCAATAGAGATACCAACCCAGGAATCTCCGCACCACCCGCAACAGAGAGCAGCGTCTGATGCCTTCCGGAAACAAACTCCACTGGCCTTATGGGAAATGTGGTCTCCTACGGATAGTCTACACCCGGGAGGAGCCTAGGAACTCTAGGTGGACAGTTACTTCCGCACACGCGCAGTAGGGCGGTAAGCGGTATTCAATCTTCAAATCGGCTCTGCGAGAAGCGCCGGCGGGGGCTGCTCCCCCAGTCTCTGGACTATGCTGTGACTAATCCCACGCTTGGAGCCGTAGCTGCGAGCGAGGCAGTGAAAGGGTGGCAGGTATGGCTTTGCTGGACTCGGAGGACGTAAGAGAAAGGCGGGGACTGGCTTCTGTCTACCCTACCGAAGATAAAACTTTACAGTCTCCAAGTGCTGTGACTTCAGGTTTGGATATGTGGGTCCCGTTCAACTCGAGTAGCTGAGAGAAAGCAAGAGTTGGGCACCGAGAGGCACTGACTGGGTAGATGCATTCTTGCTCTTGTAGCTCAAGGTCACTGTGTAGGAGTCTGTTCATCTAACTGTACCTTTCTTGGTTCCAAGAGCATAGTTGGCCCGACCGGAGCAATTTTAAGCCATTTCAAGGGATCCAGTGGAAACTGTAAGCCATTTCAAGGGATCCAGGAAGAAAGCATTCTTGAGAAACTGCTGTGCATTTGAAGGGTATTCTCAGCAATCATTTGAAGTAAATGTTATCATCATTTTGCATATGAATTAACTGAAAGGTGAAATTACTTGCCTGGACTGACAGCTTAGTAAGTGGAAGAACTGAGATTCAAACTCAGATACATTTTCTCCAAATTTCATTCTTTTTTTTACAGTATAGCCTTCCTGCATAAAACAGAGTTGGGTTTATTCTCCTGAAATATTTGAGCAATGAATGCTGAGTAAATTTCGATTTGTGGTCATTTTGTAGAGTCACTTGGTGTATCTGCAGATCTTCCAGTGCACACTGTGTAAATGAAGATGTGAGTTGCCAGTTTGCCCATTTTACCCTTTCTAGAGCCCCAGCAGTCGAAGCTCATAGGAGATGGTGAGTTCCTAGAGAGAGAAACATTTGGAGTTTAAACAGAAGGATGCAGCTTAAAAAAAAAAAAAGTATTCCTGGGTCCCTGACTCCATCCTTCTCAAGAAAGCCCAACCTAATTTGCAATCTCTTATCCCAGCTGCAGAGCAGAAACCAGAGAATGACAGAAAGGAATCATTTCTAGACTTATGGAACTTCAGAGACCAGGCTTTTAAGTTAGTCTTTCCATTCATTTCATTATTTCTTCAGGATAAATTTCTGGGAGGAAAAAAAATAACTGTTTCACGAGGAACAACTTGGTGTTAGATCGGTAGGACAGAAACATAGCATCCTTATCTAAGCTCCATATATTCCTAACAATCACAAGTAGAGATCTGTGCTTATGGAACATGCACTTTTCTGACTTGCAAGAAATGTCATTTTTCCCCACTAGGTGGCAGTTTCTGAGGCTGCAGTGTGGGTACTTATGGTCTGATAGAGCAGGGTTCTACTTGCATGCAGTCCTGGTATCTCAGGTCTTTCTGTTCTCTTTCCCATTTCTGCTTTCATAGATTTCTGTCTAAGAGCTGCAGAAAATGATCAACTTCCAGGTAAGGCATCCATCTATTCATCCAGTTGTTTAAATCTCCCAAAAGTCCATATGATCAAAAGGAAATGTTTGGTCAGGAAAAATGTAAACCGAATAAAAGATCAAGTCTAAAAGGAAATATAGAAGATTGCTAAGTTGATATCAAAGTCATAGAGTTTGCAGATAGTTGGAACAAATTTGAGCTGCAAATGTATACTTAGTCTTCCTGGAAATTGTAGTAAATGGATGACCAGCCAGTTAAAAAGTATTGGCATTGTCCATGAAGATAAAGCAAAGTTATTCTTCTTATAAGTAAAGCTTTTCCTGACACGTTTCTTTGAAGAAAATCTTTTCTAATGAGTTTTCACATAGATAACATTAGAAATAACATTCACAGCAGCAGCCTGCGATAAGTATAGCATCAGGTTTCCTGTTACTTTCTTAGAGTATTCCCTAGAGCAAGAACATAGTGCCAGCAGCACTAAATGAACTCAATTTATTAGTGTAGTTATATAGCCTTTTTAATGCCCACCTGGATCCATAAGTAAATCTTATACCTTTTCCATTTCGTAGCTATCTTGAGCATTTACTCTTCTACGTGAATTTTAAGGTCATTGAAATAACAAATATTGTCAAGGTCCATAAATCAGTATGTTAGGTATTCTTTTTTTCTGAGACAGAGTTTTGTTCTGTTGCCCAGTCTGGTGTATAGTGACATGATCTCAGCTCACTGCAGCCTCCGCCACCCAGGGTCAGGTGATTTTCCTGCCTCAGCCTCCCATGTAGCTTGAATTACAGGCATTCACCACCATACCCAACTAATTTTTGTGTTTTTAATAGAGATGGGGTTTCACCTTGTTGACCAGGCTGGTCTTGAACTCCTGACTTAAAGTGATCCCCCTGCCTCAGCTTCCCAAAGTGCTGGTGGGATTGCAGGTGTAAGCCGAACTCAGCCAGATATTCTTTTTTTTTTTTTGAGACGGAGTTTCACTCTTGTTACACAGGCTGGAGTGCAATGGCGCGATCTCGGCTTACCGCTACCTCCGCCTCCTGGGTTCAGGCAATTCTCCTGCCTCAACCTCCTCAGTAGCTGGGATTACAGGCACGCGCCACCATGCCCAGCTGATTTTTTGTAGTTTTAGTAGAGATGGGATTTCACCGTGTTGACCAGGATGGTCTCGATCTCTTGACCTCGTGATCCACCCGCCTTGGCCTCCCAAAGTGCTGGGATTACAGGCGTGAGCCACCGCGCCCGGCCCAGATATTCTTATTACGATTGCATTAATTAATTTGGAGAGAATTGAATTCATGACTTTTCAATGAGTGCGATTTATTCAGGTTTTCTTATAGGTCTTTTATTACAATTTTTTTTTTCTTTTTTGAGACAGAGTTTCACTCTGTTGCCCAGGCTGGAGTGGAGTGGCATGATCTCGGCTCACTGCAACCTCTGTCTCCAGAGTTCAAGTGATTCTGCTTCAGCCTTCTGAGTAGCTGGGATTACAGGTGCCCACCACCATGCCCAGCTAATTTTTATATTTTTATTAGAGACAGGGTTTCACCACGTTGGCCTGGCTGGTCTCAAACTCCTGACCTCAGGCGATTCACCCGCCTCATCCTCCCAAAGTGCTGGGATTACAGGTGTGAGCCACTGTGGCTGGCCCTTTTATTATAGTTTTATAGGTTTCTTATTGTAATTCTTGTACATTTCTTATATTTATTCTTACATATGGTTTTAGTCACTATTGAGAATGGGGTAGGCCTTTTTTTTTTTTCATTTTCTCTTCTAATTGGCTGTTTTGGTAAACAGAAAAATATGGTCTTCTCTTGGCTGGGCATGGTGGCTCATGCCTATATTCCTAGTACTTTGGGAGGCTAAGGTGGGAGGATTGCTTGAGTCCAGGAGTTCAAGACCAGCCTGGGCAATATAGTAAGACCCCATCTCTAAAAAGAAAAAGAAAGTTTAATTAGCAGGGCATGATGGCTCACACCTATAGTTCCAGCTGTTACATGCACTCTGAATGAAGAGACCCTCTAAACAGTCTTTGTGTGAGCAATATGGCTATTTATTCACCTGGGTGTGGGCAGGGTGAGTCCAAAAAGAGAGTCAGCAGAGGGCAGTGGGATAGGAGTTGGTTTTATAGGTTTGGGGTAGGCAGTAGAAAGTTACAGAAGTTACAGTTCAGGGCGGTTTTTGCAAGCTGGGAGGCAATCGTAGGGTCTGGAGTCACAAGGTTGACTATCAGTTGAGCAAGGTTGGTTACAAAGTCCAGTTGCCTTATCAGTTGAGGCGGGAATAAGGAACAAGAGAAGAATATCTCAAAGTTAATTAGGCACTGCAGGGGTTGGTCATTTTTCTCCTTTTGTGGTTTTCCAGTTACTTCAAACTTTCTATTTCCAGGAACTCATCTGAAGGTGTACATGCAGGTCACAGAGGTTACCATGCAGTCAATGGCGCAGCCAGCCAGCCTAAAAGGGAGCAGCTATTAGGGCAGCTGGAGCAGGAAGATCCGTTGAGCCTAGAAGTTCAAGGCCACAGCTAGCTATGATCACACCACTGCACTGTAGTATGGGTGATGAGCAACACCCTGTCTCTGAAGAAAAGATGGATTTCTCTATGTTGATTTTATATCCAGCCAATGTACAGAACTCTTTTTAGATCTAAGGGTTCTTTAGTTGATTCTTCTATTAGGTGGACAATCATATACATTACAAATGGAGTTTTATCTCTTCCTGCCCAATATTTATACCTTCCCCCATATTTTCCTTATCTCATTGCAATGGCCAGGACTTTTAATCACTGCAATTTTGAATAAACAGCCATCCTTAGTATCCATGGGAGACTGGTTCCAGAACTCCTGCAGATCCCCAAATCTGAACATACTGAAGTCACACAGTACAGTTGGCCCTCTGGAACTCAAAGATAGGAAAAGTTGGCCATCCATATTCGTGGGTTTTGCATTGCAAGAGTATTGTATTTTTGATGTGCATTTGGTTGTAGATTCAGAACCTGTCAACCAAGGGCCAACTACATTCATTGCAAAAAAAATCTGAGTATAAGTGGACCCCAGCGGTTCAAACCTGTGTTGTTCAAGGGTTAACTGTAATTTCTTTTTGTCCTAATTTTAATGGGAGTGCTTCTAGTGTATGTATGGTGAAACCCCATCTCTACTAAAAGTACAAAAAAATTAGCCAGTTGTGGTGGTGTATACCTGTAGCCCTAGCTACTCAGGAGGCTGAGGCATGAGAATTGGTTGAACCTGAGAGACAGAGGCTGCAGTGAGCCAAAATTGCACCGCTGCACTCCTGTCTGGGCAACAGAGCAAGACTCTGTCTCAAAAAATATATGTATCAATTGTATACAATTCAGTGATTTTTTAGTGTATTCACAGAGTTGTACAGTCATCACGGCTATCGAATTTCAGAACATTTTTATCACCCCAAAAGCAACTCTATATCCTAATTAGCAGTCACTTCTCATTCCTCTTGTTTCCTGGCCCTAATCTACTTTCTGTTTCTATGGCTTTTCTCTTCTGAACATTTCATACAAATGGAGCCATGAAATATGTAATCTTTTGTGACCGGCTTCTTTCACCCAATACCATAGTTTCCTCGTTTTCTTATTGATTGATTGATTGATTGATTGAGGCAGGATCTCACTCTGTTGCAGCCTCAACCTCCCAGCCTCAAACAGTTCTCCCACCTCAGCCTCCCAAGTAGCTGGGACTACAGGTACGTGCCACCACACTCAGCTAATGTTTAAAATTTTTTTTTTTTTTTTGAGATGGAGTTTCGCTCTCGTTACCCAGGCTGGAGTGCAGTGGCGTGATCTCGGCTCACCGCAACCTCCGCCTCCTGGGTTCAGGCAATTCTCCTGTCTCAGCCTCCCGAGTAGCTGGGATTACAGGCACGCGCCACCATGCCCAGCTAATTTTTTGTATTTTTAGTAGAGATGGGGTTTCACCTTGTTGACCAGGATGGTCTCGATCTCTTGACCTCGTGATCCACCCGCCTCGGCCTCCCAGAGTGCTGGGATTACAGGCTTGAGCCACTGCGCCCGGCCCTGTTTTAAAATTTTTGTAGAGATTGTGTCTTACAATGTTGCCCAGGCTGGTCTCAAACTCCTGGGCTCAAGTGATCTGCCCACCTCAGCCTCCCAAAGTGCTGGGATTACAGGTGGGAGCCATGGCACCTGGTCCCATACAGTATTTTCAAGGTTCATCCATGTTGTAGATGTACCAGTACCTTTTTTATTGCCAAATAATATTCCATCATATGGACATAGGTATACCACATTTTCTTTATCCATTTGTCAGTCATGGACACCAGATTATTCCACTTTTTTGGCTATGAATAACTATAATGAACATTTGTCTCTGGGTTTTTGTGTGGACAAATGTCTTGAATTCTCTTGGGTGTATACTAGGAGGGGATTGCTAGGTTATATGGTTACTCTTTGTTTAATATTTGGAGGAGGCTAGGTGCAGTGGCTCAAGCCTATAATTTCAGCACTTTGGGAGGCAGGCAGGCGGATCACCTGAGGTTAGGAGTTCAAGATCAGCCTGGCCAATGTGGTGAAACCCTGTTTCTACTAAAAATACAAAAATTGGTGGTGAATGCCTATAATCCCAGTTACTCAGGCAGCTGAGGTGGGAGAATCACTTGAACCTAGGAGGCAGAGGTTGCAGTGGGCTGAGATTGTGCCACTGCCCTCCAGCCTGGGTGATAGAGTGATACTCCATCTCAAAAAAACAAAAACAAAAATAAACAAAACCAAAAACACTCAGAGGAACTTCCAAACTGTTTTCCATAGTTACTAGGTAGGCTGGGTATGGTGGCTCATGCCTGTAAACTCAGCACTTTGGGTAAAGTGGCTCATGCCTGTAAACTCAGCACTTTGGCTGAGGCAGAAGGATCACTTGAATCCAGGAGTACAAGACCAGTCTGGGCAATGTGGTGAGACACGATTTCTACAAAAAAAAAAAAAAGGTTTTTTAATTGCCTGGGTGTGGTGGCACGTGCCAGTAGTCCCAGCTACTTGGGAGGCTGAGGTGGGGGGCTGAGGCAGGAAAATCGCTTGAGTCCAGGAGTTGGGTGCTGGCATGAGCCCCGATTGCACCACATTCCACTCCACTCCAGCCTGGGTAACAGAGAAAGACCCTATGTCAAATAAAAGAAAAGAAAAAACATAGTTGCTGCACCATTTTATAATCCCAATGTACAAGAGTTGAGTAATGTACAAAAGTTTCAGTTTCTCCACATCCTTGCCAACACAGGTCATTGTCTGCCTTTGATTTTAACTGTCTTCATAGAAGTGAAGTGCTGTCTCATTATGGTTTTGATTTACATTTCACTAATGACTAATCATTAATGATATTGAGCATCTTTTTTCTCTTTTTTAATTTTATTTTTTTTTCTTGCTTGCTTAGGTTTCAGACCCTGATGTTGAGCATCTTTTCATGGGCTTATTTACTATACACACACTAGCACATGCACATACAACCATATGTGTATATCTTTGGAGAAATGTGTGTTTAAATACTTTGCCCATTTTAAAATTGTGTTGTCTTTTTATTGTTGATTTTTTCTCCCCTCCCCCATTGTTGAATTTAAAGTTATTTATATATTCTAGATACAAGCCTCTTATCATATACATGATTTGCAAATATTTTCTTTCATTCTTTGGGGTTTCTTTTCACATTCTTGGCAGTGTCCTACGTAGCACAGAAGTTTTTAATTTTGATGAATTCCTATTTTTATTTTGTCACTTCCACATTTTCTGTCATATTTCACAAACCACTGCCTAATCCAAGGTCACAACTTTTTTTTTTCTGTTTTCTTCTAATTGTTTGATAGGTTTGTTTCTTACTTTTAGCTCTCTGATCCATTTTACTTCATTTTTTTATATGATGTAAGATGCGGGGAGTCCAGTGTCATACTTTTGGATGTCTAGCGGTCTCAGTACCATTTGTTGAAAAGACTTTTCCCTGTTGGACTGTTCTGGCAATAGCTGGTTATGTTTAATATGATTTTTGTTACTATCACAAAGTATATTTCTGAATCAAGCATGTAATCATTATATATAATTTTCTGCAAACTCAACAATGAACATGATATGATATTAAGGGGCTGCTTTCATTCTCTTGCAAGTTCTCTAATGATGCACACTTTAGTGTGAAGATGAATGTGCTGTTACAGGAATCAGTGACATTCCAGGATGTGGCTGTGGATTTCACCCCAGAGGAGTGGCAGCTGCTTGATTGTGCTGAGAGAACCCTGTATTGGGATGTGATGTTGGAGAACTATAGAAACCTCATCTCAGTGGGTAAGGACGATGAGTGGTAACTTTTCAGTGTAACTCAAAATATATAAATGTGCCCTTCTTTTAAGACTTGTGAAAGCTGGCCAAGATCCCAGCACTTTGGGAAGCCGAAGAATTGCTTGAGCCCAGGATTTCAAGACCAGCCTGGGCAACATTGTGAGACCCTGTCTCAACAAAATTTAGCCAGGTGTGGTGGCACTGCCTATTATTTCAGCTACTTGGGAGGCTAAGGTGGAAGGATTGCTTGAGCCCAGGCATACCACTGCATTCCAGCCTGGGTGACAGAGTGAGACCCTATCTCAAAAAGAAAAAGAAAAAGAAAAGAAAACTTAACAAAAGTTGTGAGCATTCTGAAGCATTAATCAGCTTGGCCCTAAATTTTAGTTGTCAAAGCTTCCAAATTGAGGTTCTGCTTATGCTTCTACTTCCCAAACAGAAGGGAAGGGTCTGTTCTGTTTCAAAGCCTGCTTGTCATCCTTTTAAAAACCCTGAGACTCAAGGAGGCAACCCGAGTTGTGAGCTGGTTGTTTGCCTAGCACCTTGGCCCCACTTCTATGTTGTTTTCCTACTAACAGGTTGTCCAGTTACCAAAACGAAAGTGACCCTCAAGGTAGAGCAAGGACAAGAGCCATGGATGGTGGAAGGAGTAAACCCACAGCACAGCTCTCCAGGTGAGTGAGAGAAACTCAGATGGGGATGTGTGGAGTTGAGATCCTAGTTGGTCAGTGAGGGACAGGCACCTCTGAAATACTCTTAGAAGCACCTCTTAAAAGCCATGAACCTTTGGCATAACATCATCAGCTTGTTCCCCAAAATCTACCTTCACCCTCACTGTCCCCACACATGCTCTTTCTCTTTGCTCAGCTGTTGTGTGGAAGGTTGTCCCTTTCCTGTCTCCTCTGGCTTCTCATGCTGCCTGTTTCATCTAGGTCCTTGCTTTGTTTCTGTTCTCTTAATTCCTAAAACCGTCATTCTTCTTCCTTTCTCAACATAGATCTTTTTCTATATGCTTAGTCCTTACAATGAAGTTAAATTATGTAAATTTGAAGTTTTACTCTACCAATCACTGTCTAACCTTAAGCAGATTATTTTGTAGCACAGTTTCCTTTGTTTATAAAATAGGAATATTAATCCTTACCTCAGGTTTCCTATAAAGATTATATGAGGTAATATATGCAAAACACTTCAAATAGTTGACTGATAGTAAATATTCAGTATATGCTCATTGTTTTTTCAAAACTTTTAGGGACATCTTGCTCTATTTTGTTTTCCTTTTTTTTTTTTAACTTATTCCTTTTCTTGCATCATAAACCCCATCTTGCATGTTTAGTCTCCCTGATAATTTGGGATGTCTGTCTTGTAGTGCATCTTTCTGTTTCACTTGCTAATATTGATAACTTTTTGAAATTCCCCTCCAGCTTTTTGTGGCCTTACTAATCTGTCCTCACCCTTTCTTACTGCTTATTCACCTTTTGCTCAGGTCTTCTCTCCCATCTTTTTAACTTCTCTCCACAGTAACTCCTTCAGAAGCCTCATCACTCTGAAGACTAAAGTTACTTGTTTTATGCCAACTCTAGCATCTTTGCCTCACCAACTTTTCATTCCCCTAATTTTACCTGACCTAGCCTTCATGGTAACTAATGTTTTTAATTATTCAATTGACACCCTTATCTTTACATCACGATAAATAATCTTGAATGGGTTCCTGCTTTGCCGTCTTAAAATCACTACAGTAAGCAATTTGATTTTTTCCTCTCAATAGTTTTATTTATTTAGTTTAATTTTATTTCCTCTCAAAATAAAATTAAATTTTCCCTTTCTGCAGAGTTAATAAAAGAACTCATTCAAATGATTGACATATCTTTCAAATGATTGACACCAATTAAATATATTTCAGATTCCCTGGATCCCAACTTCTGTTGACACAGACAAAATGAATTTTTTTAAGAGACAGGGTCTTACTCCATCACCCAGGCTGGAGTGCAGTGATGCCATCTTAGCTCACTGCATCCTTGAACTCCTTGCCTCAAGCAATTCTCCTGCCTCAGTCTCCCAAGCAGCTGGGACCACAGGCACATGCCACAGTCCTCGGCTGATTTTTAATTACTCATACTGCATCTAGACTGTTTATGTTACTATTTTACCAATTCCATTCTATTTTCTAATTTATATTAGATGTTTCTCCAAGATTTATCCAAATTATTCTGTTTCTCTTGTCACTGTCCTGAAAAATGTATATTATCCCTTTAGAACCTGTGTTGTGATATTTAAATGGCTTTTAATGTCCTCTATAAAGTAGCCCCATTTTACTTATCCGGAATTATCCATCTTTTCCCTATTCCATGGAAATTGGGCTTTTTAATATCCGCTATATACAGTTTTCTTCTCTGCATCAATCCTTTTGATTCTGGTCTGCTCCACCTAACTAAAACCAGCATTTTACTAAATCTGAGTTCAGCTTTCCTTTCTCATTATAACTCCAGTCTAATCTTTACCTTCTTTGAACTCCCAAGCCAACTCTACTATGACTCTGTCATAAAAAATTGACGTATACTGTCTTGGATATATTTTTCTAATCCTTATGGCTTTTAAGGCATGTGTTTTAAATGATAGTTCCTGAAGAGAATGATCTGGTTTGTTTTTGTTTTGTTTTTTCTGAGATGGAGTCTCGCACTGTCACCCAGGCTGGAGTGCAGCGGCCCAATCTCAGCTCACTGCAACCTCCGCCTCCCAGGTTCAAGCGATTCTTCTGCCTCAGCCTCCTGAGTAGCTGGGACCATGGGTGCCTGCCACCACACCAGGCTAATTTTTGTATTTTTAGTAGAGACAGGGTTTCACCATGTTGGCCAGGCTGGTCTCCAAACTCCTGATCTCAGGTGATCTGCCCGCCTCAACCTCCCAAAGTGCTGGGATTACAGGCATGAGCCACTGCACCTGGCTGAGAATGATCTGTTTTATGCTGAGCACATAATGGTATTCAATGAACATTTCATTAATTTATTGTTATAGAGCCAGACATTATGGAGGATGTTTCTTTTCTTATTTTTCTTTTTTTTTTTTCTTTTTTCAGTATCCCTGCCATAGCAATGTGGGGGATGTTTTTTATTCTTCCATTCAACAAGGCTTTTAAATATGTTTCCTGAAAAGGTTCAAAGAAAGCAAAAATCTCATTACCATTTTCTAAGTGGATGAATGGTAGTTGGAACAGCAAAACGTGTTTATATTAAAATATTTTCCCTGGTGGTCTAGTGGTTAGGAAAACAATATATAAACAAAAAATAAAGTATTTTAAAATTCAACAAGTGAGTATGAAACATTTCTTCAATGTACATTAACGTTGCAGTTGTGTTCCAATTAATTGTCAAAATGAATGGTAGACAGCAGCAGTGACTATCTTTGAAATTAATAGAAAATGGAGCTTAAAGTTTAAAGTATACAAAATCTGGAGAAGTCTTTTTTTGAGATCATGGAACAGTGGTTCCTCCCTAAAGAATATCTGAGTTCTAAATAAAATGAGAGGAGGTAAGGGAGGGCAAATTAAGGTAGAGAACGAACATGAGCAAAAGATTGAAGTTAGGAGTCTAGAGTCCATGGAGTAGAAGGTATTTGCTGAGGACTAGTGGGACCCATGCTTCCCATGAGTGAATTCATGTCTTGCATAATTCTATTTCCAGGCTGATTATGTTGAATTTTTCAGTGGATTGTTGTTGGTAGAGGTAACGCAGGATGCTGCTTACCATCAGTTGAAATAAGAGTGGTAAGAAGAAAGGAACCAAATCCCTAGAGTCAGAAACACTCTATAAAGCAATGTGTACTAATGACTGTAGCCCACTACTCAGTCTAGCTCTGCAGAGAATAAGGCATAGAGGAGGAGGCTCAGAGCATTGTACTAACACTCCTCATGGAGGGAAACTTAAGAGTGGGGAATTATGACCCTCTCTCCCCAATTTTTTTAAAAATGGGAACAGATTTGGGATTTATAGTGTTTTGGGGATAGTGAAAAAATATGAATTCAGGAGAAAAGCAGCTTTCTGAAGACCAGTTTGTTAGATTGAAAGAGGATGTAAAAACAGTATTTGCCAAATAGAAGTATAATAGATAGTTGTCACATACAGAAACTCAGCCAGAATAAAAAATAGCAAATAGACAGAATCTATTTGCTATTATTATCCCAAGCTAAGGATGACTTACCCTTGGATAACTTGCTGGACATTTGTGTCCCTGGGCTTACAAGTATAGGTACAAATGAATTCTAGCTCTCAGTAGAGCTGGAGCTATGACTACAGACATTCTTCAGCTGTGGTTTAGTTGGGGTTAGAGGACTGGAGATATGAGAATGTTTAGAAAGGAAACTGATATTGTGCAGAGTGATTTAGAGGAAAAGACATAAGTGAGAGAAATGGGGAATTATCCTACCGAGGTGATCTAGAAATTAATTATGTAGTGATTTATATAACTGCCTGTTACCACCTCCTCCAAACCTAGTCTGTACTCTGATATTTTCCCTTAACCCCTTTATCTCCTGTTTTCCTAGTTGTCCTATCCATTAATCAGGTCTCCACAATGGGCCCTCTTCATTTTATGAGCTAACCCTACACCCTTGTTGAGCACCCTTTTGACTTCTTTGTACCCTGACTCTACCTTGCACCTATTTTACTGTCTTTCCTCAGGTCACAAGCTAAAGCATCTGCTCCCATTCACTCTTCAGCAGTTTTATTCTTAAAGCTCAGGAAGAGTGAGGCAAATATAAGATTTGTTTCAGAATGAGATACTAGCTTTGAAACTATAGACGGTTTTCTCTATAACATGTTGGTGGGAAAAAGTAACTAGGAATGTTTTGTTGTACTCCTTTTTAGAATCTGACTGCCCTCTTGTTGATGAACCAGGGAAGTGTTGGGAAAGCAAAGACAATTTTTTGAAGTCAGTTTTGCTCACGTTCAATAAACTTTTGACTATGGAGAGAATCCACCATTATAATATGAGCACAAGTTTTAATCCAATGGAAAAAAAATTATATAAATCATCTGAGAAGCATTTGCCACCTAATTTAGACTTACTTAATTATAATAGAAGTTATACTGGAGAAAACACTTATGAATGCAGGGAATGTGGGAAAGCTTTCAAAAAGAAGTTTCATTTCATTAGACATGAAAAAAATCATACAAGGAAAAAACCTTTTGAATGCAATGACTGTGGGAAAGCCTACAGCAGGAAGGCACACCTTGCAACTCATCAGAAAATTCATAATGGAGAGAGACCCTTTGTGTGCAATGATTGTGGGAAGGCGTTTACACATAAAGCCCAACTCATGGTCCACCACAGACTTCACACTGGAGAGAAACCTTATGAGTGCAGTCAATGTGGGAAAACATTCACCTGGAACTCCTCATTTAATCAACATGTGAAATCTCACACACTTGAGAACTCATTTGAATGTAAGGAATGTGGGAAAACCTTCAGGTATAGTTCATCCCTTTACAAACATTCCAGATTTCATACCGGAGAGAAACCCTACCAATGTATCATATGTGGCAAAGCCTTTGGCAACACATCTGTGCTTGTTACACATCAAAGAATTCATACAGGAGAGAAACCTTATGGATGTATTGAATGTGGCAAAGCCTTCATCAAGAAGTCTCATCTCCTCAGACATCAGATAACTCATACAGGGGAGAAGCCCTATGAATGTAACAGATGTGGGAAAGCATTTTCTCAGAAGTCAAATCTTATCGTACATCAGAAAATTCATACATAATATTCATTTTATGAACATGAGAAGGCCTTATGAAATATTTGCTAAATCTTATTAAATACTAAAGAATTCATGGTAAGGAGACATCTACAATTTAAATGAATTTGTAAGAGTAGATTCCCTTAAAAAACAATGCCAATCATGTTCTGGAAGTGATAATAAACTTTTTACAGAAAATATTACAGAAAACAACTATAAATAATAGAGCTTAAAGCTTGGAAAGTAAGCATAACTTAAATAATCTAAGAGCCAGTGAAAACTACATTTACCATTCCTGACTTTTACTTTTTATAATAAAATAATTCTGCAAGTGAGTATAAAATACATGCCTATACGTTATATTAAATTATGCCTATTAAGAGTTTCTGCAGTAAATAACACATTTTTCCTTCCAGTGTTAACATGCATAATTAATCAAGAAAATGTGGTTTAATATGTAGTATGAATTTCAGTAATATTTCCATCCATTTGCTGGCACTCTTAATGGGCATGACAATGTTACTGAATCTGAGTCTCCTTTAATGGCACAACTGAAGACTTCTTATTAAAATTCATAAAGATATGTTCCTGTGTATGTAAATACCAGAACAAAAACTTTAACAAGACACTAATCGAGGAGAGAAAGGCACTCGTATTCTGTATTACAATAAGTATTCAGTTGAGGAAAAGAATTATTTAAATATGTAAATAAATAATTTGCACTTCAAATATTTCTGTTCTTTTTCATTGATATATCTACCTAAGCTGTAAGCATAGCTTAAGTGGTATTTAACTGGAGTATCATCTGTATTTGATTTTAATAAAGTAGAGTGTCATGATACTTTGCAACTTTTGGGGAGACAGTTTTGGGGATTTTGTTGTTTTATTGAGACAAGGTCTCATTCTGTCCCTGAGGCTTCATTGCTGTGGCACAATCATCGCTAACTGTAACCTTGAACTCCTGGGTTTAAGCATTCCTCCTGCCTCAGCCTCTTAAGTAACTAAGACTACAGGTGCAAGCCACCACACCTGACTAATTTTTTATTTTTATTTTAGCAGTGGCGTCTCACTATGTTGCCCAGGTTGGTCTTGAATTCCTGGACTCAAGCGATCCTCCTGGCTCTCATTCTCCCCTTCAGCCTTCCAAAGTGCTGGCATTACAGGAATTTTTTTTTTTTTTTAAGAAGCCAATACGTGTTTAGCTCCGAAGATACCTGGAATTTTCCATATGAACAGCATAGGCATCATTAATCAAGATGAAAACTTGTTAGAAAAGAGCAAGTTTTTCTGCTTAGCAACTTTGGAATGTGACATTTTGTAAGTTCTACATATTCCTTTCAAAGGATTAATTAGCCATTATTTAAAGTTTTCATGCTATTCACAATATCCCTTGGTAATGCCAAAAAACTTTTATGTATTTTCCTGAGTGGTGACAAAACTTAGTCTTGAACCTAAATTCAGAAATCAAGCCTTCTAAGTTTAAGCTCAGTTAAAATTATGTTCCATTGTTTTTCCTTCATTAGCCATTTTTTGAAAGAGTAGTGTTGGATAATAACTATAAATGAATGATGGTGCTTTTTTGTATAAGCATACTGGGACTTTAAAGACCTAAATTAAATCTTGTCTTTCTAAGTTATTTTAGGAGGCTATATGCTAATTTCACTTATGAGGTCATTCCAAAATTTCTGGAACCTTCTTTTCATGGAGTTGTCTTCAAAATCAGTATGCCAGCCACAGAGGAACATCTTGGTATTTATAGTCACAGGACATGCCTTTTTCAGCTCTGGAGTTTTCTTATCATTTCCTTCATGAAGTCCTCACTTCATCCTTGTAGTGCTTACCATTTCCATTGTATCTCTCCTTCCCCTGGCTGTAACCCTCATCTGAGAAACTTTCCAAACTACACAAATAAAGAGAGATGGGGGCACGGATCTCCACTGTTGCTGCATGGTATGAGATGCCCCTGAAAGAGCAGCTGTGTAGGTCAAGATGACAAGAAGTGTGCAATAGTCTGCTCCAGCTCGCTGGAAATAAAATGTAGCCAGGACATTTAAATTGTAATATATCAGGATAATATGTATCTGGTTTCATAATTTTGTTTGCTCCCTTTCTTGGGTGGAAAAAGATGTAGAATGAAAATATTTCAAGTACTGTATAAATATAGTCTCCCACCTAGAGACTTCCTGTCAGTGACCATTCTTAGACTGTGCAAGATTTTGGCAAAAAGAAGAAACAGTATGCCCAGTTCCATCCAGACATCTTGGATTCCCAAAACTCTCTAGCCCAGTGGTCTCCAACCTTTTTGGCCTTCCATCATTAGGCATTAGTTAGATTATCATAAGGAGCACGCAACCTAGATCCCTCACATGTGCCTTTCACAATAGGGTTCAAGCTCCTATGAGAATCTGATGCTGCTGCTGCTCTGACAGGAGGCAGAGCTCAGGCAGTAATGCTCAACTTGCCCTTGGCTCCCTCCTGCTATGCCGCCCAGTTCCTAAAAGGTCACAGACCCATATGGGTCCGTGGTCTGAGGTGGGGGGTGGGTAGAGGGATGGTTGGGAACTCCTGCCCTAGCCTATTTGTACACTGTAGCTGAAACAGCCATGCATTGAGAAATCCCTTGATTTTTCCCATCTCTGAGAGTATGTTATACCTTGAGATTTTTTTTACCCTGTGAAAAGATCATTCAAAAATGCCTACTATCGTTGTCTGGAATCACAGAGTGAAAAAAAAAAAGCCTCCTTTCTTATTTATTTACACATAAATGGTAGACTGACATTTTCCCCCAAAGTAACTGTTCATTTTTCTGATTTATATCACATATGCAATTTTTAAAGAATAAATACAAAAATTATAATGAAAATACTGGAAAGGAGAGGCCTGAGTTTAGGAGTCCTTGTGTTCTGGAAAAGGATAGAGATAAAACTTCAGATTTATAAGTAAATATGTAAAGAAATGTAAAGGTAACTAGAAAAACATAGTAACAGAATGTGTAGCTTATAAATCTGAGAAGGGGAATAATGAAAATCCAACAGAGAGCAGGAAAGGTGAAAGGTGAGAGAAAAAGGTATTTTCTCACATGCCTCATGAGAAGGTATTTACTTTCTCAATAAAAGCATAAATTAGAGTATACCAATAATAGCATTAACTGAAAATGGGTTAATCTCAACTATGATAAGGAATAAACAATAGTCTATTATAATTGTTCAGACACTTTAATTAATCTTTTAATAATTTTCTTTGCAAAGAAGCCGTCTTATTTCAAATGAGTTAGAGCAGATTACTGGACATTTCTTATTACCAGTCTGACCTACAAAGCAGCTCTTGCAAGTGGACTTCACACTGCACTGGCAATACTGGAGCCTTCCACACCCTTCTAAAGAATATTTTCTTCCTTTTGTCTTAAGTACAGTTTGGAGTTTCTCAGATGAGGGATGGGGTAGGGGAGAGGAACTACAATACCAGTATTGTATATTTTTTGTACTGTGTTCCAAAGTTATTTAAATTTTCTTTTTTGGCATATTTGTTATTTAATATATAATTAGGGTTCTTTAATCAGCATAGATGTTTGATTTTTTTTTCTTTTTCATTTACTTTTTTTTTACTTCGAATTTTAGAAAATTTCTAACATACACAAAGGTAATAAAACTACTACAATGAATTCCCTCCATGTAATTATCACCTACTTAATCAACAACTGAAGGCCAATCCAATTGGCCACATCATTTCATTCATAATACTTCAGTAGCTCTCTCTAAAAGTTAAGGATTATAAATATCCAATCACTATTTGAATTCCTCTAATTTATTTAAAAGCAATTTCAGGATCATAGTAAAATTGAGGGAATTTGTTACAATTGATGAACCCACATTGACACATCATCACCCAAAGTTCATAGCTTACATTAGAGTTCACTTACTCTTCATGTACATTCTATGGGTTTAGACAAATATATAATGACATGTACCTACCATTATAGTATCGTATAGTGTAGTTTTACTGCCTTAAAAATCCTCTGTGTTCTACCTATTTATTTTTCCTTCCCTGATAAGCCCAGGTTTTTGTGTAGACATAAGTTTTCATTCAGTTCCTTTGGGTAAATACCATGGTAAGAGTATGTTTAGTTTTATGAGACTGCCAGACTGTCTTCCAGAGTGACTGTACCATCTTGCTTTCCCACCAGTGATGAGAGTTCCATTGCTCCACATCCTCACCTGTGTTTGGTGTTGTCAATGTCACAGATTTTAGCCATCTAACTTATTTTTAAACATTTTGAGGTTCAAAAGTCAAAATATCGGTGGGGCAAGGTGGCTCATGCCTGTAATCCCAGCACTTTGGGAGGCCGAGGTTGGCGGATCACCTGAGGTCAGGAGTTTGAGAGCAGCCTGGCCAACATGATGAAACCCCATCTCTACTGAAGATACAAAAATTAGCTGAGCATGTTAGCAGGTGCCTGGTAGCGGATAGCCATTGCAATCCTGCCTGGGTGATAGAGCGAGACTGTCTCAAAAAAGTAAAACAAAAAGTCAAAATATCTCCTCCATCTCATTACTACCTACTCTATAGATGACAATTTTCATTCATTAATGGTTAATTCTAGGTTCTTCTTGCCAAACACACCTGTGCACAAACACATACATACATATATTATTACATACTATTTTTCTCATATTTCCTTTTTTTTTTTTTGAGACAGAGTCTCACTCTGTTGCCCAGGCTAGAGTGCACTGGTGCGATCTTGGCTCACTGCAACCTCCACCTCCCGGGTTCAAGCAATTCTTGTGCCTCAGCCTCCCAAATTGCTGGGACCACAGGTGTGCACCGCCATACCCAGCTAATTTTTGTATTTTTAAAATTATACTTTAAGTTCTGCTGTACATGTGCAGAATGTGCAAGTTTGTTACATAGGTATACATGTGCCATGGTGGTTTGCTGCACCCATCACCCCATCATCTACATTAGGTATTTCTCCTAATGCTATCCCTTCCCTATCCCCTCACCTCCTGCTATCCCTCCCCTAACCCCCTAACCCCGACAGGTTCCAGTGTGTGATGTTCCTCTCTCTGTGTCCATGTGTTCTCATTGCTCAACACCCACTTATGAGTGAGAACATCATTTTTGTATTTTTAGTAGAGACGAGGTTTCACCATGTTGGTCAGGCTGCTTTTGAACTGACCTCAAGTGATCTGCCCGTCTTGGCCTCCCAAAGTACTGGGATTACAGGTGTGAGCCACCATGCCTGGCCTGCCTGGCCCCTTTTAAATGTCCTGCTGGGCTCTGTGTTCCTGAGTATACATAGATATACTCAGAGAATGAATTCTACCTAGAAATTGGAGAATGAATTCTACCTAGAAATAGAGTGGGAGAATTTTCTACAAATATGCCTTAGCTGTAGTTTGGATGGAGACAGAGGCTGAGGATATGACAAAGTGCCTATAATAACAGGGAGTTAATGGCTTGACAATTAGCTTGATGATTGTGTGCAAGATGAGTAAGAGGAGAAAGAGCAGTATATGAAGAAGGCTAAGGAAAATCCTGACAGGACAATTTAACATTTGGATGTCATGAACCTTGACTCTGATTGAACTCCAAACCAATCCACCTCCTCTCATTTCCCCATCATGCCTTTGTCTCCTTGTTCTGATTACCCTACACGTTCATTCTTCTGAGATGGCTTACCTAATTCTCAGAGCTCACCCAGCGTCCTTGTTAAAAATCTTTTAAAAATTCT